TATCCCATAAAGATTGATTACGTTTTCCTGTCAACTGCTCCAGAGGCTGAGATATTTTGCACTGGAATTCGTTGTGCAGAAGGTAAAGAACAAGAATGAAGCTTGTGGTAACTATGAGTCTTCACTTCTACTGGTAAGGTTCTCCTCTTTCAAACAGAAGCAGTTGTAATTCCCAGTCTCACACTACTAAAAGCTAGATCCAGAAAAGGATGTTGTAAATCCTGAACTGCAATCCAAAAGTGTAGATGGGGCAACTTCCTACACCAGTATATTTGTTACAATATAAAATGTTTACAATGTAACTTGCATGCTACAGCAATACAGCAGTGTTGCTACTAAGTTAAAGTTACTGTGCCTTTTTTTGCTCACTTTCTCACCAGAAGATTGTGCAAATTTAACAATTGTAACAGCTGACATAAGCTCCCAAATGGCCACTCCTCTTTTCCCTTTTAAAGTAATTTAAAATGTCTGTCTACAGTGAGAGTCCCTGCTTACCAGCTTTGTCATTCTGGAAGTACTTAAACTCACAAACTCACTTTGCTTGATAGGGGAGTTCTCAGAGTTCCTCTAATAGTGCTCCTGGAAAAAAGTACCCAAATCTGAACAAGGAGCAAGTGCTTTGTTTGGAAGTGGGGTAGCCAAGTACTTACACCAGGGGTGGACAATTATTTTGGGTGGAAGGCCACTTACCGAGTTTTGGCAAGCTGTTGAAGGCTACATGGGCAGCCTCTTGACAGGTGCCTCACCCCCTGGTTGCCATCTTATGACCAGAAGTCCCACCCCCTGACCTTAGCCACCTTTCAGCAAGGGGTTTTGCCATCTCGGAACCAGAAAAATACCAAATTATATTCTAAAAAGTGAACACCTACATAATTAATTTGATTTCACAAAATATTTTTGTCCTGATTTACATGCTTTTGTGTAGCATACACAGAAGTGATTCCACAATTGCTTAAAATGAAGTCTTACTCTTGTATATTGTGGGGTGTGCATATAGGTTTGCAGGGGGGGATGGGTGGAGGGTGGCTGGGGTGCATGAGGGGGTGTAGGTGTCTACATAGATGGCAATGCTGGGGGGGTACATGCAGATGCTGGGGTGTGCAAGTGGGATTCACCCTGTGAACACACACATACACATGCATTGTCCCTGCCTGTGTGCATGCATGCACTCCCTGGTCCCGTAATGCAGATGCAGCCAGGAGCCATGTGATGCCAGGGCAGGAAGACAGTGAAATGGCTGGGAGTGGAGTG